AGATCTAGAAGGAAATTAGACTAATAAGTAAATCTGAAAGCTTAATTGCCAGAAAACTTTGACTGATGTGCAGATAAGTGACAAAACATATAAAAGAACAATGAAAAAGAGAAGAGCAGTTGCAGTGGTATGACAGAATTCATACAACCCCATTTTTTGTTGTTGAGGAGAAAATTCTAATAGCAACTTGTCATACATTTCCTTCAAACTGAGGTAATCACAGTGGGCCAACTGTGATCCAGGAGTCAATTTCAAAATAGAATAACAGCCATAATTTGAAACACTTTTTCCCATTGAAACTGTTGCTAGAATGAAAAATATGATAGCTATTTAGTTCAGCAATGTTTAAATTGTATTTTAAAAAAATATAATTGCATTGGCTGACTTAAAACCAAGTTCTTTGAAGACATGGAATAACTCTTTGGGAAATCCTAATCTGTGGTTCAAATCCAGGGAAAGTAGGCATGAAATCTATTCAGGTGGAAAAAAATCACTGATGTTCACATTCTGTTATAATATTTTTATCCAATGATATGGAACAATATCAGAAGTTCTTTAAAAGAAGGCTCAAAGATTATGGGAAAGATTATGACCATAGAAAAAAGACTCATATTGCCAGTATCTTGCTTGTTAACTACTAGATGCTGCTAGTGGGGAAGTGGGTAGAAAATGGAAAATAGTAGAAGCAACAAATATTATTGAATGTCTTGCATAATTTAAAATTTACACATACAATAAGGAACTAGAAGCACACCTTTTATTTTCATAGATGTAAACTATTATAATTATGATACAATTTTAAATCTTTTAAAAACATATTTTAATCAAGATATCATTTGCTATTAGGTGTTCAGTTTTCAATCAGCTTCTGAAAAAATCAGGACCACCAACATGAATGAGATGAGCATTTATTGCCATTCATTGGATTGGGACAATAGCAAACATAAATTCTGAATTCCATTAATTTCAAGAATATAGGTTCCCTTCAAGCAGAGAATTACCTTCAGAACAATGTTCCCTCCTTCTGGTTTAAGGAAATATTTGTATAAATTTTAATTGTAACTAACACTAAGCAGGGTTTCCTATAATATAGGATATAACCATGATGTTTGAAGCGACATAACAATTACGTAGTTCCACAATTTTATTTGCAGTCAGACAAACATCATCTCACAGACACCTGAATAAAAATGTCCCATCCCTTGTAATCCAGGATAAACAAGTTCCCTTTGCTACTTCCAGGAAGAAGGGAAGAAAAAAACAAGAGAGATGCTTATGCTGCAAAAAGCAGGAAAGCTTTTCTGCTGGGGATATATTCTGATTAAGCTGACCAGAAAGTATACAAGTAATGATTGTAGAAGGAGGAGCTACTTAAAGCAGCTGAGAGTTGCATAGTCTTTGTTATATATGCTCATGATAAGCTATTATAAATCAGTTTGTTCAGGGCAGGCTATTTCTATGAGCTGAGCAATAGTCCTCTGAAATTTACTTTCCAGAACCATGAAAAACGTACAGTTTCAAATCATGATTAAGACATTAAGATGCAGTCAGCATCTTAATGCATTCCCTCTCTCATCAAGCAAAAATGAAAAGCTTTACTAATTATTGGAAGAGAGTGGAGGGCAATTTATTTTTAGCATTCACATTTTTTTTATTATATAAGAAAGTCTTCTGAAGAAATAGAAGAGAGATCTAAGCCTTGGGCACAGGTTAATAGGACTCAAATGTAAACAAAAGAATGAAGTTAATTAAAGAAGTTGATAGCATAGAAAACATAATGCAAGAACTTCTATCCAGTGTAGTGCATGTATACCTTGGTATATAATAAAACAAAGTGGCAGGGAAATATTGGATAGCGCTAATATAATTTCTAAACTTATTTTTGATATATAAATATATCTAAACCACATAGTATAAAATGCCAATTTCCTTATAAAGAATAATGTGTTTCAAATAGATGTTATATATTTGTGTTTAGGCTTGGATAAAATTTTCTGCATAGTGAACATTCCTACAATGCATACATGATTATTTCATTAGTCACAAGCCTTTACTTTTTTTAAAAAATCTTTATTCCAGCTAAAACACATGTATATTTCTCTTTCTGCTTACTTAGACTTTACTACAACCACACCAGTGAAATATCGCTACAGAGTTAATTTAATGACCCATCTTTCTTGACCAATATTGAAAAGCATAGTAAAGTAATATTTATGCTTTTATATTATTTAAACATATAAATATTTTCTATTGACAATTAATAGAAAAAAGTTTTTTAATGCATACTGTCAAAATAGCATTTTAAAAATGACAACTGAAATGTCCAAGTATGTTTTCAACAAACATCAGTAAATATCAGCATTTCTGCTCACTTACACAAACATATTTACTTTATAGATGAGGTTTTATATTTCAATAGAAACTGTAAGCTACATTTTTCAACTACTGTACTTATATCTCATTTGAATAATATTTTCAACATTTCCTGTTATAAAAACTGCTTTTGAGTGTTCATGAACCTTCGTAAAACATATGATGATGTATTTTTTTCCAAAGAGGTTTTCCTTCCTGACACAAATGCTAGCAAAAGTAACACAGAGAATATAATAAAGATGTTATGAAGAATGGACTTGTCTATATATTAATGGTAGCCAAATTATACATATTTTGCAATATTGATATAATAGTTAAAATTCAGTGCACATTCTTCAGAATGAATACTAGAGTAATAGCCTTGTTAAAATTGTATATAAATGTTTAGGTGTGTGTGTGTGTGTGTGTGTGTGTGTGTGTGTGTGTATGGATGACACTATTGACAACATTTATAGAAAGCTTTCCAATGCATTGTGCAACCAATGCACAATCCTATTAAATGAACAAATCAGCCTGGAAAACCTAGGGGATGATTTTGGTGCCTCTTCAATGTTTATCAGTGACTTTTTTAGAGTAATACCTACTCTCACAGAGGCCTCTTAATGGACCCTCAATATACTGTGCTGTGCCCAACCTCACCTACTCTTTCTTTTCTCAAAAGACAAGGCACATCTGCCACCTGCTCTACTCTGCATCCCAGAAACAACTGTCGAGCAGCAAAAAGATTGATTATCAGTCAAATAGTATTCCAGTACACCAGATTTTGGTAGGTTAAGCTTGCTGATCCAGCAAGAGTTGGTGTGAAATTTTCAGCAATGTGTGCCAATATTTTGGTGCGAAAGGAACAGCAGTGCATATCATGATGAAACACAGCCAAAAGATGCAGACAAAGCAGAGAAGTTTTTGTTGAGTGCAAATGAAGCAGAGATCAAGAAAGAACAAAATGCTTCTTTGGATTGGGAAATCTCAGTGGCCAATAATATATTTAGAAAAGTTGCACATTGTTCAAAAATTACTCTACTATCCTCCTGCTTATTTATGAAAAGGATGGCAACATTAGGCTCAGCTGAACTTAAGGTGTAATGCAAAGGTAATACTGATTATTATGATAAATAGAAAGACAATTCATTACAAGAATTTTAAAAATGAGAAAGGATATTTGCTTAATTTGCATCTTCTTATTGAATTAATGTATTAAAACACATTCAGCAGATTATTTGGATTCTATTCAGGAAAACTGTCACATCATCTATAATATGGCACTACATGAATAATTCATGAGCAATGGACTACTTATTACAGACATAATATTTTCAAAAATACTAAAGATATACAGATATATTGCTCGCCAAGTAGATTTAAATTAAATATTTCAGTCATTTTAAACATAATATACACATACCTTTTGTTTAACAAGGTGTTATTAAGCATTTCAGGGATGTTTTGGGGCAGCTTTTCTGCCTATTTTGAAACATAATTTGCTGCTTACATGGTACTCAATTTCTTTAAAACACACTCAAAAATTTTTTCCCATTCGAGATTTTCTGCATCAGTGTAAAAGTTTTAAGAAAAAGGAGTCTGATAATATGCTTAATACAACATTCATTTTAGAACACTTATATGTTGATGTCATAAATGTTTTCATCAGTATTAAACATAATCTATTATAGAAAGCCTGAAAAGATATAATGAAAACTACTTGTACCTCAGTTTAAAATTTTGGCTTACCTTCTAAAAATATTATTTATATAAAAATTAATTCAGCTGCAATATTTTCAATTATGAGTCATTATCATTCTTTTTATTTTGTTAATGGTATGATATTAAAATTGTTGCTTTTCTCATTCCAGCTTAACATGAAGTTTTCATTTGGCTAATGGTTTTGTTCCTTAATATTTTAAATCCCAACTATGTGCTATAACCTAATAACAATTTCTAACGTTATACAGCATTTTGTGTTGAAATTTTCTAATCATTCAAACCAGAACACAGCTCAAATTAAAAAGTATTTGCAATGAATGAGGCAATTGTATGGTATATTATTCTACATTTTATTGTTGAATTCCCCAGAAAACCTATTACAAAATTAATTACAAGAGACAATGGCTTCTGATATTAAATATTTTTTTAAATGTTTTAAATTTCAAAATGCAATGGTTATCAAATTTATATATAAATTTAGGCTGAATATTACACATTCCTGCATAAAACATCTGATAATTATTTTAATGCTTTGTCTTAATAAAGGTCAAATGACTAAATTAATAAAGCACTCACACTCTGAACTATTATTTTTGCTGGTGTAATAAGCTTAATGAATTGTGTCTGTAAGATGTCAGTGAAACTAAATAGTAAATTCAATAATCTCTGATTTAATTTATTATATTTTCACCATTTAACCTCCTGCAGGCTCCCTAATGTCTATTCAAATCTATATTAAATTAAGCACCAATGCTAATGAAGGGCAATGAACGTGGCTGTCAGTAGATTTTTCTTTCATTAAGCACATTATCTTCTTACTGAGCTGTAAATGAGTAAACATTAGTTTTGTTAAACCATGCAAAAAGATAGGATGAAAATCGTTTTTAATTGCACCCCTTAATCCACTGACTGTAGCATTTTTTTACCTTTGATTTTTTTGAATGGATTTGAAAAGGGCTCTCCAGTTGAAATATAAACGTCAGCATCATGGGGTATGTCTATAGCACTCAGTACTTCAGTGCCGTCTGCCAAGAAGATTCGTCGGGCAGCCATATTCAGCTTCAGCTTTTCAGTGCATTCCTCCAACAGCTAAATGAACAGAATAAGGTAAGAAAAATTAACAACAGAAATATATTTCTGTGGTATGCTACTAATCAAGAATCAAAACTTAGTAGTGTTTCTGCTACCTTGCGAAATATACAATATGTAGAGTCAGTTGCCAAGCAAGCTGTCAATGTTGCTATTGTCACCATTATATGAACCATGAAGAGAGATTTCACATTCTACATTATTTAGCTGGCTTGGTGGTTTTTTTATATATATAAAATTTAACATAAAGAAAAATCACAGTGTTTACGCTAACGGCTATGAACTGTTTCATTTTAAAATAAATAAAATCCTTATCTTTTTTGAGTTTGAGAAGCACATCCAAATAAATAATAGAAATACTTACCAATTTAATAGAAAGTGGCACAGTAACTTTAGCAAATATATTTATTGCACCATTTTTATAGGCAGTTACTCTGAGTATCTGTGGTTTCTGTTTAAAAATCTGGGATATCTCAGAGGCCTTCCGGGTACAGTACAGTTTTGAGGAAGAAAATTGTTGACATCTGTTGCAAAATAATTCCAATTCAATTGAATAAGAAAGTAACTAGAACATATTATGCATCTATTCTAAAATTATATTTAGTTAATATTGTTTTTCTTAATAATTGTTTAGCTTATTACTTTTACATTTTAGACAAAGTTCAAGGTGACAAGTATTTTTCTAAGCTTATGGAAAATTATGAACTATTGTTTCACATTTATGTGTAACATCTAGACATTCAAATATAAAATGGCTATTGTCAATTTTGGATCTGTCTTTATTAAAAGCATTTGAAGTCAGGATTCCACTGATTTTTGTCTTAATTTTTGTTATAATTATAATTTTGTTATAATTATAATTATAAAAATAGAAACAATTTTTGATTTCCGCATTTCAAATATTGTAATGTTTCATTAAAAATCTGTTTAAACAGTTATAGTCAAATTACCATCATATAGATTTGAAAATAATTTTTTCTTCAGTAGCATTTATAACTAATGTAACTGTTTATAGGAATGCATTCTTAAGCCACATGAAATTCAAAAGTACAGTTGAATGCCCAGTAACCATATAACTCATATTTTAAGTTATTTGAAAGAACAACCAAACAAAAAGGCTTAGATAAAAGTTTTTTGCATAGATTTGTCATCAATAAAAGTATGCTATTAGGCAAGCTTAGAAAGTAAATATATTCTTCTTACTTCTCCAAGTTAATCTGCTGATTGCAAACAAAAGTTTGTACAATGCCAGAGCATTTAAGTACTCACTGTTTTAAATTTTAGATATAACAATAGTATCTTTGGTTTTGCGATACTTGTAAACACTGAGGACACTTCTATAGTTTCTCTCTGAAACTAATGTTTGTGGAAGGCTAACTAGATTTGCTTTCAAGGGGTTTTATGGATTATTTTTCTTTTTATAATAGGAGCAGAGGGTAATAGCAACATATCAGTACAGTTACACTTTATAACAAAGCAATGTTACTATTCATTTTGTGGGAAACAGATTTTTTACATTACTATCACAGGGGGATTATCTAATAAATATAGTTGAAGAATATTCAGATGATATAGAAATGTTCATTACATAAAGCTCATTCCCCTTCTATATGGTGACCATATTCCAGTATTTCCAATGTATCTTCTATCCCTTCTCCTTTTCCATCTTAACCTACCCACTCCATTTTCTATTATCAAATAATGATCTTCCTGCATGTGATACATTTTAATGAGGGGAAAAATTATATGGACTGCATAGAGGGACAGTTGTATAACATTCATTAGATATGTGTTATAGAATAAAGAAATTATCATATTTGGCTCTTATTGGTATCAAAATTACTTTATACATAGTAATTTAAAAGAGAGTATGTATTTTTTCACTCATGTGAAACCTTCCTATACAATATATTTGTGACATTGAAACAGTTTTTCAAAAGATTAAGATAGAAATCCTAAATACAAAATCCTATATCTTACATGAAAATACTTACAGTGAATTCAGAGTAGCTTACTACTAACTGAAAATGCTTAGAAATACCCAGTAATATTGTTAGATACGAAAAATATAAATATATATTGCACTTTAACTATAATTTTGCCAATTATATCAACCTGACTTTGTTGAAAAGCAATAAAATAAGAACAAGCACAGTCATAGTTAAAAGGAACATGAAACAAATCTGATTACCTTAGCTGACCTGATGGAGCACTGATAGGTCTGTTTCTCTTATATGGCAATGTAAGGCAGAAATTGTTTGTACTATTTGATTCGTAGCTGGCTAGTTTTGATTTTCTATCATTTTTATGAACTGGTTTTGTTTGATGTATGGAACCATCTTGAAATCCTGACCTTCTTGATATTACCAATGATTGGGGAGCACTCTTAGGGCCAAGTAGAGACTTTCTTTGCTTTTCTTCTGTTTTTTTAGCTTTCTTTGTAAAGGGCATGATTAATTTTCTGGGAGAAAGAAAAGATAGTAAAAAACAGATAGCTTGATAACACAGTAGGATAAAGGCAATATGGAAACATAGTTATACACCCCCTAATTTGGAAATATTTAACATAAATAGTTCATCTCACCCCTAGAAGAGGATTAATTTAAAGATTAAGAAATTATAACTATTAAAGAAACAAATGCATACAAAACACTTTTGAGTTTTTAAGATGATAACAGCTTAGTTATATTTATTCATGTATTTAAATTTAAATACCACTTTACAATGCCTTTGTAAGGTCACACTTGGAATACTGCATCCAGTTTTGGTCACCATGATTTAAAAAATATGTTGAGACTTTAGAAAGAGTGCAGAGAAGAGCAACAAAGATGATTAGGGGACTGGAGGCTAAAACATATAAGGAACGGTTGCTGGAATTGGGTATGTCTAGTTTAACAAAGAGAAGGACGAGGGGGGACATGATAGCAGTGTTCCAATATCTCAGGGGCTGCCACAAAGAAGAGGGAGTCAAGCTATTTTCCAAAGTGCCTGAAGGCAGGACAAGAAGCAACGGATGGAAACTAACCAAAGAGAGAAGCAACCTAGAACTAAGGAGAAATTAAGGGTTTCCTGCTTGAGCAGGGGGTTGGACTCAATGACCTCCAAGGTCCCTTCTAACTTTATTATTATTATTATTATTTTGGATCATTGCACAGTCAGCCAGATGTTCAGACTGGATTTGGCATTTTGTTTACCTATCGAGTCCTTACCCAGGACCTGGGATAGGCAGATGTGGATGTTTGATGGTATTACAGGTATCGTCGCAGGATGGAAGCAGTTCCTAATAAGGCCGCCTTTTGCAATTGACTAATAGCAAATTTGTCAATGCCAATGGTGTTCAAGTGGTGCTCCAGTTGTTTTGGGATTGCACCCAAGGAGCCTATTACTATTGGTACTACCCTTGCTTGCTTTTGCCACAGTCTTTCTATTTCTATTTGTAGGTCTTTGTATTTTGTTATCTTCTCCAGTTCTTTCTCTTCTATTCTGCTGTCTCCAGGCACTGCCACATCCACTATCCAGACTTTTTTGTCTTTCTTATCGGCAATTGTTAAGTCTGGGGTGTTATGTTGCAGGTGCTTGTCTGTTTGAATTCTGAAGTCCCAGAGCAGTTTAATTTTATCATTTTCTATGACTTTTTCTATTTTATGATCCCACCTTTTGCTTACAGGCAAATGATATGTTTTGCAGATCTTCCAATGCACCATTGTTACTACTTTGTCATGCCGCTGCTTGTAGTCAGTCTGTGCAATCTTCTTGCAACAGCTTACCCAAGTGGTCCACTGTTTCTTCAGCTTCTTTGCATAGACGGCACTATTATTATTATTATTATTATTATCGATCATCGCACAGTCAGCCAGATGTTCAGACTGGATTTGGCATTTTGTCTACCTATCGAGTCCTTACCCAGGACCTGGGATAGGCAGATGTGGATGTTTGATGGTATTACAGATATCGTCGCAGGATGGAAGCAGTTCCTAATAAGGCTGCCTTTTGCAATTGACTAATAGCGAATTTGTCAATGCCAATGGTGTTCAAGTGGTGCTCCAGTTGTTTTGGGATTGCACCCAAGGAGCCTATGACTATTGGTACTACCCTTGCTTGCTTTTGCCACAGTCTTTCTATTTCTATTTGTAGGTCTTTGTATTTTGTTATCTTCTCCAGTTCTTTCTCTTCTATTCTGCTATCTCCAGGCACTGCCACATCCACTATCCAGACTTTTTTGTCTTTCTTATCGACAATTGTTAAGTCTGGGGTGTTATGTTGCAGGTGCTTGTCTGTTTGAATTCTGAAGTCCCAGAGCAGTTTAATTTTATCATTTTCTATGACTTTCTCTATTTTATGATCCCACCAGTTTTTGCTTACAGGCAAATGATATTTTTTGCAGATCTTCCAATGCACCATTGTTGCTACTTTGTCATGCCGCTGCTTGTAATCAGTCTGTGCAATCTTCTTGCAACAGCTTACCAAGTGGTCCACTGTTTCTTCAGCTTCTTTGCATAGGCGGCACTTACTGTCTGTTGCTGTCTTCTCAATTTTGACTTTGTATGCATTTGTCCTTAAGGCTTGGTCTTGTGCAGCCAGAATTAGTCCCTCGGTCTCTTTCTTCAATTTTCCTGCTCTTAGCCATTGCCAGGTTTTATTATTATCTGCTTTCCCAGCTATTTTTTTCATGTATTGGCCATGTAGTGCTTTGTCTTCCCATGCCTCTATTCTGTTCTTCATTTGGTCTTTCTTGTAGGCCAGTTTGGTCTCTCCAGTAGTTAGTAAGCCTTCCTGATATACTAATTTCAGTGCATCTTCATCATTGTTCTTCAGATATTCTTCCAAAGCCATTTTTTCTTCTTCAACCATCTGATGTACTTGTAGCATTCCACGCCCACCTATTTGCCTTGGTAGATAAAGTCTATCAATGTCACTGCGTGGATGAAGGGCATGATTCATTGTCATTATTTTTCTGGTCTGCCTATCCATTGCTTTTAGTTCTGCTTGAGTCCAGTCCACTATTCCAGCTGTGTACCTAATGACTGGGATTGCCCAGGTGTTGATTGCCTTTATGGTATTTCCTCCATTGAGTTTGGACTTTAAGATCTTCTTCACTCTCTTGATGTATTCACCTCTAATCTTTTTCTTGACTTCAGTGTGCTTGATGTTGTCAGCTTGAAGGATACCCAAGTATTTGTAGTACTCTTCCTCATCCAGACTCTTAATGTTATTTTCGTGGGGCATCTTGATTCCTTCAGTTTTCACTATTTTTCCTTGTTTGATAGTAAGTGTGGCACATTTGTCCAAGCCAAACTCCATTACAATATCTTGGCTATATATACGGACAGTGTTGAGCAGCGATTCTATTTCAGATGATGTTTTTCCATACAGCTTCAGATCATCCATGTAAAGGAGGTGGGATAGTCTGGCAGATGTTTTTGATGTTTGATAGCCATGTCCTGAGTTATTCAGTATTGTTGACAGAGGAAACAGTGCAATAACAAATAGTAATGGTGATAATGAATCTCCTTGAAATATTCCTCTCTTGATATTAACCTCTCCCAGCCTCTCACCATTGATCTGCAACTGTGTCTTCCATTGTGCCATCGATCTTTGCACAAATTTTCTGATGTTTCTACTGACTCCTGTTATTTCTAGGCACTTTATTATCCAATCATGTGGCAGAGAGTCAAATGCCTTTTTGTAGTCAATCCATGCCACATTCAGGTTGGTCTTCCTTCTCTTGCAGTTTTCCAAGATCATTTTGTCTATTAGGAGTTGATCTTTTGTTCCTCTGCTATTGGGGCGGTTTCCTTTCTGCTCAGGTGGAAAGAGATTGTTTTCAACTAGATGCTGTTGTACTGCATCAGCTACTACACCAGTTAGTAATTTGAAAGTTGTTGGTAAGCAGGTAATTGGCCTGTAGTTACCTGGTGTTGCCCCTTTTGCTGGATTTTTCATTATTAGGTAGGTTTTCCCAGTTGTTAGCCACTTTTCAATTTCTCCTCCTTGTAGTATATTGTTGAACTGCTTGGCAATGAGTGGGTGTATAACAGTTAGATGTTTCAACCAAAACCCATGCAGTTCATCTTCACCTGGTGCTGACCAATTTTTGATTTTCTTTGCTCTTTTTTCTACCATTTTTGTTGTTATTACTAGTTCTTTCATTTCAACTTCTGTTTTATTTGCATCCACCTCTTTTAACCAAGCCGCATCCTTGTTGTATTTCTTTGGGTTATCCCATATCTGCTTCCAGAACTGCACTGTTTCTTCCTTGTCAGGTACTGACTGATTCCTTGCAGTTTCTCCATTGATGGATTGGTAGAAACGTTTCTGATTGGATTGAAATTGGAGGTTCTGCCTATAGTTTGCAATTCGAGCTTCATATCTACTGATTTTCCTGGCTATAGCTGTTATTTGTTGCTTTATTATTTCCAGTGCTTCCTTGATCTTCCTTGTTTCTAAGTGGTATTTCTTGATTAGGTATTCTTTGGTCTTCTTGTTCTTCAGCTTCTTTTCTTTCATCTGTTCTAGCTTGCTTGCATGTGATCTTAACTTGCTGATCTTATTTTCTAGTCTAACCTTCCATTTTTCTGGTGCACTGTTTGTTTGTTTTTCTTCTTTGTTGATTTTGCATCCCAGGTATTCTGTTATAACTGCAGCTGTGCTGTACATTAGTTGGTTTGTTTCTTGCAGTGAATTGGTGCTTATACTTGATATTGCAGTATTTGCATCTTTTAATGCTTGTGCTAGCTGTTTCTTTGGAACAAGCTTCAATGCAGGTAGCCTTATTCTGTTGTTTTTGTGCTGTTCTAGATGCTCAGTTATTCTTTGTTTCAATTCTTTTATTTCTTTAGTTAGAGGGTTTTGTTCTTCCTGAGGAAGAGGTGCCTGGTTTCCAAATGAGAACAGTTGTATATCTCTGCTGGATTCCTTCACTGCCAACTCCCCCTGGTTTGCCTCTACATTCTGAATTACTTCTGGTAAGGCTTTGATTTCTTTGCCCTGGGTAAACCTTTGCAGTTCGTCCAATTCTGTTTCTGTGAATATTTTATTTCGTGTTATAAATCGGCGTTGATCTGCTAGTCTCTGTTCTGTTATTTCTGATTCTGGATGTTGTTCTTTCCAGAACTGGTGCATTCGTTTTAGATATCCTCTTCTTGTTGGACTTGATCTGTAGTAACAGATCATTATTTCTTTGTTTTCCATCACTGTGTATCTGCGACGGGTAAACACCTTTTCTTCCAGTAGTTCTGCAGCTGCTGGCCCTGGTTGCTCAGCCAACAGTCCTGAGTCCTGTAACCCATTTTTCACCAGATATCCAGGAACTCCAATATCTAGTGCGGACCTTGTTAACCCGGGCGACGTCCGAGCCGGTATGGCATTCTGAAATTTACGTCTCACCATATTTTTTTATGGGAGAGACACTCTTTGTCTGACTCCTCTGATGAGACCTGTCCAGTATGGTTGAACCTCTGG